AGAGGGAGAAGCAGGCTTCCCGCTCGATCCAAGTACCCTGGGATCATGACCTGAGCCGAAGGCAGACGCTTAACAACTGAACCCCCCAGGTGGCCCTAAAAAACCCTTTTAGAGATACATGCTGATTTACTGATAAAATGACAGAATCTCTACTACGTGCTTCAAACTAATCCAGAAGTAGAGAGTGAGCTAGTATAAATACAGATGAAATAAGACTGGCTGGGAGCTGATGACTGCTTCACTGGTAAAGGTACGTGGGTTCACTGCACAATTCTCCACGCTTTTATATATGTTTGATATAGTCCAACATGACAATTTTTATATAACTCATGCTCTGGTTTTCTGAAGTAACTTCCCTTCTTCCTTATACACTACTGCCACCAACATAAAAGATCGGCCTCCTAGGCCCATAGAACTTAAAAAAAAAAAAAGAAAAGAAAAACAGAGAGGAAAAGGTAAGCCAAATGCCTTTGGCACAGAAAAATCCCCTAATTTTGCTAAGGTTACTTAATGACTTACCACTTAAGCAACTACTAAAATATCAAAAAATGTCTTTGAAACTACTTAACACTTCAAGAGTTGTAATTACCAACATGTAACACTAAGGCGACTGAGGACTCAGTGCACGTGCGCTGGGGAAGCAAGGAGATGCCTATGTAGTTTCTCAAAAAGAGAGTTTAGGGTGCTGACATTGGAATGGCATGCTGCTCATCAGTGTACTGTGGTTAAATTCTGCCTCTTTAGAGGCTATTTTAAGACTATGAGAGTAAACAGCAGTGACAAGGAGAGAATAGATCAAGAAAACACAAACCCAGAACAGGATCCCACAAGAAAGGAAACGGACGTTGAGAGGATAAAAGGAGTCCCAAACCAGAAGAAATCAGAGAGGCACAAGAACCCAAACAGCATTTCTAGTGTCAACAAAACCAAAGGCAAATATTTCAAGGAAAGACTGAATGCTTCAAGGAGGTAGAAGCTGGCTTTGGTGGCAAGGAAATCTCTGGTCTTTTCATAGTTATAAGACAAAAGCTAAATTATAAGCATTAAAGAAGAATGTAATACTACACTTTCTAGAATGAATGCTTAATTCAAGTTACACAGGAAATCTGAATACTAATAAAAAGTCAAAAAACACTGAAGACAGTGGGGGTGATGGTCATTACACTGATGGCCACCACTCACATGGCTGATCATTACCAAATGCCTCTATCAACAGAAAAATACCCATGCCTAACATCTGTGGGGTGCCATGTGCCAGACACTGTGCTAATGCTTTACACTAATGCTTTACTCACAACCATACTATCGCCTTCTTGCTCTGAAGTTAAGTAACCTGCCCAAGGTCACATAAGTAAATCCACTACTGAGATAGAATCTAAAGCCAAGTGGTCTAACTTTAACTCCTTTAAGACCCAGCAGACTGGGGCGCCTGAGTGGCTCATTTGGTTGGGCGTCTGCCTTCAGCTCAGGTCATGATCCCAGGGTCCTGGGATCAGCCCTATTGGGCTCTCTATCCAGCAGGGAGCCTGCTTCTCCCTCTCCCCCTCCCTCTGCCTGCCACTCCCCCTGCTTATGTTCTCTCCCTGCCAAATAAATAAATAAAATCTTTAAAAAAAAGGGAGGGTGGGGGGCACCTCGGTGGCTCAGTTGGTCAAGTGACTGCCTTCAGCTCAGGTCATGATCCCAAAGTCCTAGGATCGAGTCCCGCATCGAGCTCCCAGCTCCATAGGGAGTCTGCTTCTCCCTCTGACCGTCTCCCCTCTCATGTTCTCTCTCTCTCTCTCAAATAAATAAATAAAATCTTTAAAACAAAACAAAGACCCAGCAAACTGACAAGAGATTTAATCAAAAACAGTAAGTTCCAGCACGTGTTCTGGGGTCAGTACAAATTCAGGCTGGGTTCCACACCAGCCATGTAACACAGTATAAATGGTATATCCTGAGTAATGCAGCCCAGTTTTTCTTAAACTGTTTACCAACACAGGGAGGTATACAACATATTATGTCATACTGTCATAAGAAGATTGAAAACAAAAAATAACCACTCTGGACTGCTGGCTGGTTCAGTTGGTAGAGCATACAACTCCTGATCTTGGGATTATGAGTTCTGAGCCCCTGGCTGGGTACAGAGATGACTTAAATAAAACATTAGGGATGCCTGGATGGCGCAGTCGGTTGAGTGTTCAACTCTTGGTTTCCGCTTAGGTCATGATCTCAGGGTTGCGAGACTCGGCTTTGCGTTCAGCACAGAGTCTGCTTGGAACCCACCCTCTCTCCCTCTCCCTCTGCCCTCCACCCCATGCTTCCTCTCTCAAATACATAAATAAATCTTTAAAAAGAAATATTTAAAAAAAAAATATTAACCACCCTTTAGGTGCGCAGAAATGCTACTTATTAGAATACTCTCCACTCTCCCATCTTAGAATATCTGACACTAAACAAACATGCTTTTCTTCTCCTTCCTCCACTGCAACCCACCCTGTCAGACAGTAACAGATTTCTGTCACAGTAACTGGAGTTTACCAGTGAGACAAAGAGAGAATTGGTTAAGTACAAAAAATAAAACACAGAATAAGAAGATCAGCAGTTGCAAAAAAAGTAAATAATACTAAAGTAGCTAAAGAAACTTGTACCCAAGGGGCGCCTGGGTGGCTCAGTGGGTTAAAGCCTCTGCCTTCGGCTCAGGTCATGATCTCAGAGTCCTGGGATCGAGCCCCACATTGGGCTCCCTGCTCAGCAGGGAGCCTGCTTCCTCCTCTCTCTCTGTCTGCCTCTCTGCCTACTTG